GGCGTGGTGCGGTGCGCGCCTGGTTGAGAGCCGCGGGGCCCGTGGCAAGCAGGCTGGGAAGCTTTTGGCCCTCGCGCACGATGTTGCAGATCGCGCCCGCCACCGAGTTGGGCTTCGACTCCCCCGACACCTGGAGGCGAGTGGGGCGGGCGTGAGAGGACTTGCGCGCGGCGCAAGTTTGGCGCGGCGTCGAAAGTGGAGCCTTGAGCTTCGGGTTGTCGGACGCGGCGAGCTCCGAGACAGACGCGCCGCTCATCGTCCCGACCGCCTCTCCCAGCGGCGCCTTGCTCCGCTGGTACGGCGCGCTCGAGCGTGCGCTCGAGCGCCGAGGCGGCCTTCCGCCGCGAACGACTCCGCCGCTCCCGCGGCTGGACTGCTTGATGACGTCGTCGAGAGCCATGTCCACACCTGTGGGCGGGGTGGGTGTCGAGGCGCCGATACCTGGGAAAGTGCGCAGCGAGAGCAGGGCACCGGTCGACATCGAAACACGTATAAGGTCAAGGACTTCGGCGTGTGGGCCGCTGTCGCGTCAAAGTTGCTCGGTCTTTTTTTAGCAATACCTTAATGTTACCAATACCAAACAACTCTAACACTCTAACACTCACACACGTCATCCGCACCGGTCCCACCCCCCCCTTGCTCGGGTATCTTGTTGGCAAATCAGGACACAGAGCTCACAACAAATTCACAGTGGGAGGAAAGCGGCGAGTCGCAATTCCTGGGCTCCTTACGTTTGCGGGCCACATCAATCGGGGTCACAGAAAATTAAAAAAAGAGAAGAAGAAAACGATGCCAAAGGTTGTGCTCCTGCGCCTTGGTTGACGGCCACGCCGGCCGACCCAAGTTTGTGCCCCCCTCGCTGACATCAAGATGTACGCGCTGACCCTGCTCGGCGCCACGGCCTACACGCCCGGCTCCTACGCGCCTCGCCTCTCGCCCGAGGCCGAGGTGCCGCACCACGACCACTCGACCTCCTCATGGCTCCGCGAGGAGCGGGCGAGCCCGCAGGCAAGCACACGCCGCCACCCTTCCACCAGTCCGCTCGCACGGCAGTTCGCGCGCTCCGCCAGCACAGTAGCCCCGTGCCTCCCACGAGGTCAGCTCTCCGCGCGCATCGCTGTGGGACGTGAGTGATGCGGCGACTGCCGTCGGGTCGGAACGGCATGAGGCCAGGGAGGGAGTGGCTACAGAGCCAGCGCGCGCGGCAGTGGACCCAGGCTCCGCGTCGGCGCAGTCACGCCACACACGCACGCTCGCTCACACGCACGGGGCTGAGGCACACCGCCCCGTGCCCCTCTACCACATACTCTGCCGCGCCACCGCCGCCGTCGGCAGCCCTCCGCCTCTCCTCACGCCTTGCTCCTCTCGCGCCCCCCCCCCCCCCCCAACCCCTTCGTCTCCCGCCTCCCCGTCCGGACCGACCAGGCGCGCGTCACCCTCACCGTCGCGCTCCGCGTCGAGGGCGAGGCGCTGAAGCGGCTCGAGTCGACCTTTTGGGCGGTCTCGACCCCTGGCGACCCGGAGTACGGCCAGCGCCCTCCTCCGACGGCCAAGAGACGACCTCTACGGAGAGTTGGTTGTGAGTGACGAGCCGATGGTCGAGGTAGGCAAGCACCTCTCCAACGACCAGGTGACCGCCCTGCTCAACGTGAGCCACGAGCGCGTCTCCGCCGCAGCCCGTATTTCTTTTTTTGGCGGAGGTATCTCTTTTTTCTCTAGGTGAGCCACGAGCGCGTCTCCGCCGCCGCCGTATTTCTTTTTTCGGCACAGGTATCTCTTTTTTCTCTAGGTGAGCCACGAGCGCGTCTCCGCCGCCGGACGTATTTCTTTTTTCGGGACAGGTATCTCTTTTTCTCTAGGTGAGCCACGAGCGCGTCTCCGCCGCGTCGCATCACTTCGCCGCCGCCGGCGCCGAGGTGACCGTCGCGCCAAACCGCGACATGCTCACCGTCGTGATGACGGCGGCGGAGGCGGAGGCGCTGCTCTCCGCTCGCCTCCACTGGTACCGCCACTCCCGCGTCAAGGCTGCGCCGCGGCTGCTGCGCGCTGCCGCAGGGTACTCGCTCGACGCATCGGTGGCTCAGCACGTTTCGCTCGTCGGCGAGCTGTGGTCCAGCTCCCGCACATCGGCCAGAGTTGTCTCTTTTCGCAGCCCGAGTGTCTTCTCCTAGGCGAGCTGGTCCAGTTCCCGCACATCGCCGAGAAGGCGACCACCGACGCGGCCGAACCCGCCTCCTCCTTCTCCGCCGCCGCCGGCGAGGAATGGCCAAAGGGGTGCGCGGCGGCGCAGTGCGACAACTTTGTCACGCCCGCAGTGCTGGCGATGCGGTACAAGATCCCCGCCGCCGCCGCGAGCGGCAGCACGGCTAGCTCGATGGCGGTGGCCGAGTACCAGGGGCAGTACTACAAGACGTCCGACCTGGCCACGTTTGGCGAGAGCTGCAAGGTTGACGTCTCGATCAAGGAGACCATCGGAGGGGACCTGCCCGTCGCGGGCGTCGAGGCGGAGCTCGAAGAAGAACGAAAGAAAACAGCCGGCCCAAGGGAGGGATGGGGGGACGGCACGCCGCCACCACACACAGGGAGAGTAGCTCGACATCGAGTACGTCGGCAGGGGGTCGTTCTGCTCGCTGCCTTTCTCTTTTGTGCCCGACGTCTTTCTTGTCTCCCTCTAGGCAGAGCTCGACATCTCCCCATATCTCCCCATATCTCCCCATATCTCCCCATATCTCCCCATATCTCCTCTAGGCAGAGCTCGACATCGAGTACATCAAGGCGGTGGCCCCGGCGGTACCGCTGGCCGTGGCGGTAACCGCTCGCGCGGCTCTCTTGTCTTTCCACGCCGGCGTCTCGGTCTTCAGGTGCCGCTGACCGTCGTGTACAACTCGCAGTACTCGCTCCTCGCCTGGGCGAGGCAGATCTCGTCGCTCGAGAACCCGCCCCTGGTCCACTCGTCTCGTACGGCGACGAGTGTCCTTGTTTCCGTTGCGCGCACCGTGTCTTCTGTGTTAGGTCCACTCGGTCTCATACGGCAACGACGAGAAGCAGCAGGTGTCGGCCGAGTACATGCAGACGGCGAACACCGCCTTCATGAAGGCGGGCGTGCGCGGCCTCTCCTCGGGTAGTCTCGGGTAAGCTCGGGTAAGCTCGGGTAATCCTTCATGAAGGCGGGCGCGCGCGGCCTCTCCATCCTCTTCGCGTCTGGCGACCAGGGCGTCTGCGGGCGCGAGGGCTGCGGGTTCTTCAAGAAGCGAGTCACGCCCCCGCCTGCCGCGGTTCCTGCTCTCCCTCTGCCGCACGCGTGCTTTCTTTCTTAGGCGGTTCAAGCCTGACTTTCCCGCCGCGTCGCCGTACATCACGGCGGTCGGCGGCACAGATTTCGTCACCAAGTCCGTCGTCGGCGACGAGAAGGCGTGGGTGGCGGGCGGCGGAGGCTTCTCCGACGACTTTGCCATCCCCGCCTACCAGGCCGAGGCGGTCGCGGCGTACTTGAGCCAGCCGGACCTCCCTCCCAAGGACATGTGGAACTCGACCGGCCGCGCGTACCCGGACGTGTCGGCGCTCGCCGGCCAGGTACGGCTCGCGTTGCGCCACTCCCCATATCTCCCCATGTCTCCCCATATCTCGCGCAGGTGAACCCTGACTGCGTCGTCTTACGCTAACCCTAACCCTAACCCTAACCCTGACCCTAACCCTAACCCTAACCCTAACCCTAACCCTAACCCTAACCCTGACCCAGGTGAACCCGTACTGCGTCGTCTCGAGCGGCCGCTTCGCCGGCGTCGCGGGCACTTCGGCGGCGTGCCCGGTGGTGGCTGGCATCTTTGCGTTGCTCAACAGCCGGCGCGTCGACAACGGCAAGCCGGCCCTCGGCTTCCTCAACCCGTTCATCTACCAGAACCCGCAAGGCTTCCAGGACGTCACGCAGGGCAAGAACACGGGCGGCATGCAGGAGTACGGCTTCAGCGCCGTCAAGGGCTGGGACGCGGCCACCGGCTTCGGCACGCCCGACTCTGGCGCCGGCCGCGTTTCTTTTTTTCGCGCGGCGGATGTCTGTCCTCTCTCTCTCCCTAGGCACGCCCGACTTTGACGCCCTCGCCGAGGCCGTGGACCAGCTCTGAGGCGGTCCCCGCCGCCGCACTCCCCCGCCGCCGCTGCAAGAGCCGCCGCGGGCGCCGCGTCGCCGACGCCCGCGGGTGGAGTGGGTGGGTGAATGGGGTGCGCTCAGGGGGAGGCGCCTGTCGCCGCCTCCGGAGCCTCTTCCGCCGCCGCGGCCGCCGCTAGGGCCGAGCGGCAAGAGCGGAGCGGCAGGGAGTTCGTGGATTGACGCGTGTGGGACGGAGCGCGGCGACGATTCGACAGACGACACCGGATCCCAAAGAGGGCCGTGAAGTCGAGTGTAGGGAGGAGGAACGTGACTGTTGCGGTGGGATTGCTGTGGGAAGAGGAACCTCGGACGTCGTGTCTGAGTCGCGGTGTGGCTGAGAGCGTGTACTGTGTAGTAGGAGGAGAGACTCGGATTCACGTGAGCTTGCACCAGGCTCCAACCGGAGCGAGCCCACTTGTTTGGCGAATAGGCAACCACACGCAGTGCCCTCCGCCTACACACACACACACACACGCGCGCGCGCGCGCGCGCGCGGTAATGGATTTGCCCCCCCCCGAAAAGAGCCGAACCCGATGGACCGATGGTGGGCGCACGCCCGCGTAGCGGCGGCGCAGGTTCCCTGAGCTGTTCCGACGCGGTCGTGCTAGCGGCTGAGCGAGGCGAGGAGGAGGCGGTGCTGGCGTGGCTCGAGGGCGGCGGGCGGGCCGACGCGACGTACGAGAGAGGCGAGGCGAGCGGCCTCACGCTGCTGATGGGCGCCGCCCGCTACGGCCACGAGCGGTTGGTCGAGTTGCTGCTGCGGCACGGCGCTGAGGTCTGCCAGCAGGACAGCGACGGCGGCACCGCGCTGACGTGCGCCGCCAGCAACGGCCACGAGCGGGTGGTCGAGCTGCTGCTGCGGCACGGCGCGGAGGTCAACCTGCGGAACCGCGACGGCTGGACCGTGCTGATGTGCGCCGCCCGCAATGGCCACGAGCGGGTGGTCGAGCTGCTGCTGCGGCACGGCGCTGAGGTCTGCCAGCAGGACAGCGACGGCGGCACCGCGCTGACGTGCGCCGCCCGCTACGGCCACGAGCGGTTGGTCGAGTTGCTGCTGCGGCACGGCGCTGAGGTCTGCCAGCAGGACAGCGACGGCGGCACCGCGCTGACGTGCGCCGCCAGCAACGGCCACGAGCGGGTGGTCGAGCTGCTGCTGCGGCACGGCGCGGAGATCAACCTGCAGAGTAGCGCAGGCTTCACCTCGCTGATGTACGCCGCCCACCAAGGCCACGAGCAGGTGGTCGACTTGCTGCTGCGGCACGGGGTGAAGATCAACCAGCAGAACAGCGGCGGCTGGACCGCGGTGATGCTCGCCGCCCACCAAGGCCACGAGCAGGTGGTCGACTTGCTGCTGCGGCACGGGGCGAAGATCAACCTGCAGGACAGTAACGGCCTCACCGCGCTGATGGACGCCGCCCGCTGCGGCCGCGAGCAGGTGGTCGAGCTGCTGATTCGGCACGGCGCGGAGGTCGACAAGCAGAACAGCTGCGGCGCTAACGCGCTGATGGCCGCCGCCCGCAACGGCCACGAGCGAGTGGTCGAGCTGCTGCTACAGCACGGCGCTGAGATCAACCTGCAGAGCGGCAGAGGCTACACCCCGCTGATGAACGCCGCCACCAAAGGCCACGAGCGGGTGGTCGAGCTGCTGCTTCGGCGCGGCGCGGAGATCAACCTGCAAGACAGCGACGGCTACACCCCGCTGATGAGCGCCGCCCTCCAAGGCCACCCCGCCGTCGTGCTCCGCCTGCTTCGGGCTGGCGCAGATGCAAAGGCTCGCTCTGCAGACGGCAGGTCCGCGCTGCAGATCGCCAAGGAGCAGGCGGCCGAGGTGCTAGCTACTGCCGACGCCGCCAGTGCTCCTGGAACGGACCACGCCGGGTGCGTGCGCGCTCTCACGGCGCACGCAGCAGCGCTGAGGGAGGCGGAGGCGGCGGAGAAGGCGGCAGAGAAGGCGCTCGAGGCCAAGGGGCGGCGCGAGCAGCGCGAGCGGGAGGCGGCGGCGGCGGCGCGAGAGCGCGAGCGGGCGGCACGACAGCGCGAAGCAGAGCGAGCGGTGGACGAGGCGCGCCGGGCGGCGGATGCGGCGGCGCTGGAGGAGCAGAGGCGAGCCATTGCGGCAGAGGCGGAGGCGAAGCTGGCCGCTGAGCGCGCGGCAGCAGAGGAGGCGCTGCGGGCGAGGGAGGCGGAGAGGCTTGCGGCGGAGGAGGCGCAGCGAGAGGAGCAGCGGGCGGCGGCGGCGGCGCGCAAGGCCGCTCAGGCAGAGGCGGCGCGGCGCGAGAAGGAGGCTGCGGACAGGAGGGCGGAGGAGGAGAAGGCGAGGCAGCGCGCAAAGGCGGCGGAGGCAACGGCGGCCAAGAAGGAGGCCAAGGCGAAGAAGAAGGAGGCCAAGAGGGCGCCGTCTGCCTGCACGCTCGAGGAGGAGCGGAGGGCGAAGGCTGCGGCAGAGCTTCGCGCGCAGGAGGAGAGGGCGGCGCAGCTGGCTGCTGAGCAGGAGGCGGCGAGGCGAGCGGAGCGCGAGGCGGCTGAGCTAGCGGGTGCGGCGGAGCAGGCGGCGCTGCGCGAGGATGCGGAGCTGGCAGAGGCGCTGCGCCGGTCAGAGGCGGATGCGGAGGAGGCGCTGGTGCGTCGGGTGTCGCGGTGCGGGGAGGCGGTGAGCAGCGAGTCGACCGGCGGCGGCGGGGACTTGCCGCGGCGTGTCGAGCGGCTGGAGGCGAGCCTCGGCGCGGCGACCGAGGGTAGGCTCGAGGAGCGGGTCAGCGCTATCGAGCGCTTGATCGGGCCAGAGGCGGGAGAGGCGGCGGAGCAGCATCTGCCAGTCACCGACCCGCTTGCAGCCGTCTCACTAGCGGACGCCGGCCTCGACACGGGGCGGCCGGCTGCCCCCGAGTCCACGATGGGGGGAGAGACCACGTGCATCGTGTGTTTCGCGAGAGTCAAGTCGCATGCTGCGGTTCCGTGCGGGCACTTGTGTGCTTGCGGGCCATGCTCTGAGCTGATGGGGGAGTGCCCTTACTGCCGCGAGCCAGTGATGATGTGGATGGTTCCGCGTCCGGTCTAGAGATAGGTGGCTTGCGTTCGGCTGTTGTTGCCCCTCGGATCCCCCCAGCGGCCGGTCTTCCGACACACCCTGTACAAACCGTTTAGCTCTTTAGGCGACCACGGCAGTACGAGTCAGTTTTGAATGGGATGAGTCATGAGAGGCATGCGCCATGCAGATGATACTTAGGGCGTCTCGTAGCAGCGGCGTCCGGACTACGGTGTGCAGGCACGGCAGCAGAGATGCGTCGAGCCTTCTTGCCCCATGCTTCGGGCCTTCTTGCGGGCGCGGTGGGCGCAAACGTATCCCAAAGCAGGCCCTCTTAGATGTCCACCGCGGTGCGCATGTAGCGCGGGTTTGTCACCCACATCCCAAAGTTGTCGGGAAACGAGCGAGCAGCCACCTCGACCGATGCGGAGTACTCGTCCAGCTCGTCGCTGAGCACGTGCAGCGACGCCTGGAACTTGGCAAAGACCTCGGCCAGCGCCGCCCGCTGCGCCGCGCTTGTCGCCGGGAAGAGGTACGACCAGTCGTTGGGCCCGCCCGGCGTGGCGAGCAGATAGGGAGTGGTCGAGCTCGTCAGACACATGAGGGTCGCCTGCCGCATCGCGAGCTGCTTGGTCCCGCTGAGCCGCCCCTTTGGCCACGAGAAGGCGGCAAACGAGACGTCCTGCGCGAGCGAGCCGACATTGCCGACGACGTTGTGCTCAAGCGCGACAAAGGTGATGAGGCGGGCGAGGATCCTGCGCACGTAGTCGCGCGCCTCCGTTGGGCTGCCATTTGCCACGGCAGCCACCGCAGCCGCGTCACCATGGCTCTCGCTGAGGTGAGACAGCCACGCCCACACCTCGTCGCACGGCTCCCCGGCGGCGGACGGCTGCTGCGGGATGCCGTCGGGGTAGAAGCTCTCGAGGTACTCGCCCGCGAATGCGCTCGCCGCCGCCTCGAACTGTTTGCGGCTCTGCGTGTACTTGGAGCAATAGGGCGGGGCGACCTCCTCGGCCGCGAGAGGAGGGAGGCAGCCGCTGCGCTTGGAGGCGGGGAGGCACTCTCGCACGGCGTGCCAAGCCTGCTGCAGGCCGAGCTCCGTGAAGGCAAAGGCGCGGCCGACGGTTGAGTGCGGCAGGACGAGGGCCTGCCGCGCCCACGCGTTGATGGTGATGTTGCCGTAGATAGGAGGACGGCACGCAGGGAAACGCCCTTTTAGCAATTCTTTATATTTGTACCTGTGTTAGTACCAGTGCGCGCCAGTCCCGTGCCTAGTGTCGTGCGAGGGATCTTTGTTGTAAAATTCTTTTTCGCACGCGCGCGCGGTAGTGTACCTGTGTTAGTGCCAGTGCGCGCGAGTCGCTGGAAAAATTCTTTTTCGAGAGGTCGAGCGAAACAGCCACCAGTTACAACCGTCGAGCGCCTCAGCTGGCCCCGTCCGCGGTGGGTCTATGCTCGACCTAGATTCGTGCGATGGCCGCCACCAACTTCGCTTCAAGGTCGGCGATCACGTCCTCTGCTTTGCAGGTAAGGACTCCTCCCCATGGTCGCCCATGGTGGCTGCCTCCGAGTGGAGGCATGCAGTGGTGGTGCAGCTCTGGTTTCGAGATGAAGAGTTCGAGGCCAACAAGATAGCCGCCTACCAGGTGCACAACCGAGTAGTCGCCGGCAGTCGTTAAAAAGATCGGCGCAGCCACGCACAAATTTACCCAACAAGCAAGCTGCCCCTTCACTCATGCGCGCGATTGCGACGACCCGCAGGTGAAGGAACTTGGAGGGGGATACCGTTACGCACCCAACGACACCGACGACTGCATCCGCTTGCTAGATACGGGCGGCCGCGGCCCTTCTTCGTGCAACAACAACCGCGACCTTGTTACTTCGGTGGTCCACAGCATCTCCGGATATTCATCTGTCGACGAACTCCTTCGCGGGATCGCCGACAGCCCCTCGGAAGAGGAGTTCGAGCTCGTGGACGATCTCGTGCGGTTTGTGCCTGAGAGCCGCAGCGCGATGGTGCAGCCAAATTCCATCTTGTCCCTGTGCGAGCTGTTGCGGGGAGAGGATGCCTCGATACGGATCAAATTCACTTTGGCTGAACTCATCGAGCCCCTTTGTGATGGTTCGGACGACCGCTGCAGCGCTCTCTGCAAGGCAGGAGCTGCGGAGCTGCTGATTCGCTTAGTATGGGAGGCTGCGCATTACCCTTGCAGGTGCTGCGGGGCTCGAGCCTCTTATTCGTCTCTCGCCGCGCTGTCTGCCCTTGCAGCGAGTCCAGTATGTGCTGTGGCCGTCATCGGGGCGGGCGCTCTGGCCATGCTTGATGCGCTGCTGTTGAAGAGCCATAGAAAGGAGGAGGAGGAGGGGAGGAGGGAGTGCGCGGTCCGCCTGCTCGCCGCTCTTGCGGCCCCCGAGTCTGCAACTGCAATCACCGCAAGCGCCTCCGCTCTGGCCTCGTCGGAGGCAATCCCCCCGCTGGTTTCGATGCTCGGTTGCGCTTACGATGGCGCGGACGAGATGGCCGCGAGGCTGCTCTGCAGCCTCTCCAAGTGCCCAGCTGTCCGAGGTGCCGTCAAGAGCTCGGGGGCCGTCCCACGGCTGTTGGCGCTGCAGAAGGGTGGGGGCAAGGCGGCTCGGCGGGCAGCCTTTGCTGCGCTAGCACATCTGAAGCGTAAGGCGGAGGCGGACGACACCAAGGAGAACGCCGTCGATATCGCCGAAGCCGAGAGGGTGGCCAGAGAGGCCGAGAAGGCACTCCTGCAGGAGGTCGCCCTTCAGGAGGAGGAGAAGCAGGCGGAACCGCAGCGGCGGAGTGCCCGTAATAAGGCCAAGCGGGAGAAGAATCGACAGAAGGTCGGCATGAAGAAGCACCGAAAGCGCGGCAGTCACGCGGACGTCGAAGCGGGCGCCGCCCTCGATGGCATCTCCGAGGAGGCTGGCGACGAGTCGGACAAGGCATCGACATCAGGCGATGAGATTCCGGCGGCACCCTCTTCGAAGGAGCAGGAGGAGTTTGGTATGCAGCGGCATGAGGCTGAGCTCGCGGCGCTAGAGGCGGAGCGAAAGGCGCGCGAGGAGGCGGCGGCGGCGGCGGCGGCGCGCGAACAGGAAACTAGGTGCCGCGTCGCAGAGCTGGTGCCCTCATTCGAGCCGGTGCCTAGTTGCGCCGCGACCCGCATTCACCCTGCTGGCATGCGCGTAGGAGCGTGCTGCGCTTGACAGCGGGGCGTCCCAGGCTTTCCAAGTGCTAGCACCTTCAAGGCCGCTCACTTTGCCAGCCAAGGTGAAGACCTCGCGCGTGCACGGCTCACTCCTCGCGCCTCTGTTCAGCCTGTTTGCCTCGCGATCGCCTCAGGTCGAACGGATCCGTTCCACACTCGGGCTACCGACAGGGAACCTCTCGCAAGTGCTCCGCTCCGCCCACGCGGTCTTGTTGAGCAGCAGCGCGCCGCTAGAGGGCGGTCTCATCCAGCAGGCGGACCGGCAGCTTGCGCTGCTCGGCTTGACTGCGAGTTGAGATCTTCTTCTTCTTGTTCTGGTCTGCCACTCTGAAACTCGACTGCACAGAGCCGCGCCATCACACCCCGCTCCCCGGGGGGCCGCTGGTGAGTGGTGTGAGCGACCCGCCCGGTCTGAACTAAACCGGTCATGGACTCTCATGGCGCGGACAGCTGTGGAGCATGAACGATGGAGGGCACCCCTTTCTCTCGTCGTGTTTTTATGTTCTAGCTCTCTCACCGCGAGACGCGAGAGAGCAAATGTGACATGTGTGTTATCTCTGGGCGGAGACCATGCAGTCGTCCGAGGACTGAGGTCCGTGTTTTGAGAGGCCCTTTTGCTCTCGTGCGTCAGTGTAAATGCGGGGTAAGGAGCAAAGGCGGTCACACTGCCGCCCCGCGCTCGACCTCCGCATCCCTCCGCATGAGGTCGTGCGCTTCGCGCAGCACCCCCCTGAAGTCGGCCGCGCTCATGCCCATCGAGCCGAGGAAGCCGTCCGTCTGCTCCACAAACTCGCGGTTGAGCGCGCCCATCAGCGAGAAGCGGGCGAAGAAGGTGTCCCACCTAGGTCACCCCCCCCGTGCCATCGACGTGTCATGGACGTGGCAGACGCGCACGAGCACGCGCGGAGGGGGGTGTCCCACCGCTCCTCCACCGCCTCGAGCGCGTCGAGGAAGGCGAGCTTGCCGAGTGGATCGTATCCGCCGTAGCTCTCGCCCATCTGGACCAGCGCCGCGTGGTCGCGGCAGAGCTTCTCGTACCTAGAAGAGACGGCAGTCACTCAGAGAAGACGAACGCCGGCAGCCGGCCGCGGAAGACCTGTCCCGCACTCCGCCCGCACCACCTCGCTCTCAAAGGCCGCCTCCTCCCCGCTGAAGGGCGTCGCCGTCACCGCCTAATCTCGGGCGACCTCGCTCAACCTCGCGTGATCGCCACGCTGAAGGGCGTCGCCGCCACCGCCTGCGCGCTCGTCAGCTGCGACATCATATTCGCCTATGGGGTCCCGGGCCGATCTCGCGTCATCTCGGCCGATCTCGGCCCCTCCCGCCCGTGCGGCGTCATGTCTGCCTGCCCCGACGCCGCCTGCTGGGCGGGCGAGCTGAGGTAACGGGCGGTCTCCACACACCCCGCGGTGCGTCTAGGCAGGGCCAGGCAGCCCTCGCGACTCCACGCCCAGGCAGGCGAGAAGCTGGCATGGACTGCAGTGTCGAACCTGCTTGGCGGCGAGCCGGTCGAGGTCCACTCCCGGCGGAGGAGGGCGAGGCATCCCTCCCGTCGCAAAGGCCTTCATGTTGTCCGCCTGCAGCGTGGGCGAACTCATTCCTTAGTTATTGATTCATTGAGCCTGCGGCGTGGGCCAACTCGTTCATGAATTAATTATTAATTGAGCCCACGGCGTGGGCGAACTCGTTACGCAATTCGTTATTAATTGAGCCTGCGGCGTGGGCGAACTCGTTACTTAATTCGTTATTAATTGAGCCTGCGGCGTGGGCGAGGAGGAGAGTGCTCGGAGCACCGCGCGGGTGCGGCGGCTGCGAATAGCGTGACGGCCGCTAAAGGCAGCTTGAAGGGCCGTCCGCTAAGCGTGTCGCTGAGTTGCCGACGTGTACCACTACGACCCGAGAGGAGCCGCACTCGCCTGCCACCGCATCATCGCGCCCACCGACTCCAGCGACTCGCCTTGCCGCTCGGACCACGCCGCCGTCACCTTGAAGTACTCGCGGCTCTGGAAGTCGTCGGCGAGCCGCATGCGCGCCAGCATCCGCTGCCACTGCTGCTCCGCCTCGTACAGGTCCTCCGCCATCTGCCCCACCTTTTGCGGGTCGGGCGAGCCGCCCATGCTCATCTCGAGCTGTAGCCGAGACATCTCCTCGGCAAAGCGCGGCATCTTGCTGCCTGTGAGCTCGCCCATCGCCACGCCGAGCGGCCCATTCTCCGCGCAGGTGGTTGAACGGAACGGGCAGAACGGGCCGATGGGCGTGACAAAGCCGCTCGCAGCGATGGCGCAGCAGCGCCGCGAGCCACCGGCAGGGCGCGTGCCATACGACTGCGTGTGTCCTATCGCGATGAGGCCGTCCGCGCCGAGCCAGAGCAGGGCGGTGATGGCGCTTTTGAGGAGCGGCATATGTACCAGAGCCGGGGCGCTCGAAAAAGAAAACAGGCTGCCCCCAAGGCCCCCTGGGCCGCTGCGGGTTTTGGAGTTATGCTTTGGCACAGCTTCGGCGATGGCGGCCCCTCTCTGGGGCTTGCATAGGCGGGGAGTCTCCCTCGCTGGTCTCCTCATTCCCTTTTTTCTTTTTCTTTTGAGCTGGGTGTGCCGCCGCGCGGCGCTCGCGCGGCGGCGGTGTGTGTGTGTGTGTGGTGGTGGTGGTGGTGGGGGGGGGGGGGGGGGGGGGGCTCGGGGGCGCGCAGGACAGAGGCTCGGCGATCATCGGCTCGCCGAGGGGGGAATGAGGAGGGGGGATGGGCGGTCGGCGTCGAGTAGAGCGGCAGGCGCGTACGGGGTAGCCGTCACTTTCCTGCCTCACAAGGGCGGGGCTGTCCCGGAAAGTGAGAGACGCCGGGCAGCGTGGCGCATCATTGAACCCTCCCATACGTGCTCGTGCTCCTCCTACGCTGTCCCATCTCCTCATCTCTTTCCCACCTAGGCGGGGCGGGGGTTGGGGAGGGGAGGGGACGGTCGACTGGGCCGGTCGCTCGACCCGATTCTACTCTACTCTCAGTCTACCATTCATGGACAATAGTGTCTGTGACGGCGGTCACATTCACAGCGAGGTCAGTTCACAGCCGAGCCAACGATCCTGACACGCTCCACTTTCACGGCCCCGCCGCGGCTCGAGCAAGGTCTATGGCGATCGACATCTTGCCAGCTGTGGCTTGCCCGTCTACCGCTACCGCGCCTACTAGATACAGTCGCCCCTCCCGCCCACGCCGGCGACTGTCTGAGGTGCAGTTGACATCTGGATGACTGCGCATAATGGGGTTGACCCGCCGCGCAGCAACCCGATGTTCACGATTTAGGTTTCCGTCGAGTGACGAGTCTCGTCCGAGACGTCTAGTCTCATCCCGCCTCGTGGCATACCTGTTCTAGTGTGTCATGGTGTCCCAGTGGTGTTCTCGTGTGTGGGGGAGGCTCAGCAGCCCACCACCAGGGAGGTTTCGTCAGTCTCGGCGTCGCATCTGCCGCGCCGAGATTCGACGGACCGAAGGGGTAGAGGCTAGCGCTCTCTGTCGAGAGACGCGCATTACTCAAGACAATAATTACTACATCATGCACGACCTCGAGCGTGCAACGCCGCACAGTGCTCAGGGTTCGAGCAGGTGCAGGCGAGTGGAGGGGCCCCTGGCAGAGCAAGAACTGCGTCTGACAAATCTTTCACGAAGAGAAGAATTCTTCGCCACAAGCCCGCGCTGCGCCAGACGGCATCGATGTCGAGCTCGGACGACGACGCGCCCGCTGGGCTCGGCGCGCGCGGCCGCAAGCGCTCGCGCAAGGCCTCCGACGACGCCATGCTCGGTGTGTTTGGCGACTCGTCCGAGGACGAGGGCGGCGGCGGCGGCGGCGGCCGTGGCGGCGGGCGAGGCGGCCGTGAGCGCGAGAGCAAGCGGCCGCTCGCCGAGAAGCCCGTCAGCTTTGCCAAGGCGGCCGCGCCCTCCGCGCCGCCGCCGCCGGCTCCGGCGCCGGCGGCGGTGGCGCCGGCCGACAAGGCGCCTCCCAGTCGGCCGTCGCGCGGAGGGCTGGGCTCGGGCGGGGCGAAGCCGCTGCCGGCGGAGAAGGTGGACAAGGAGTTTGGCGCCTTCGAGGCCCACTCCAAGGGGATCGGCTCCCGGCTCCTCTCCAAGATGGGGTGGAAGCCCGGGCAGGGCATCGGCAAGGCGGGCGGCGGCGTGGTGAACCCGCTCGAGCAAAAGCTGCGTCCAAACTCAATGGGGCTGGGGTACGGCGGGTTTAAGGAGACGACTTCGAAGGCGAAGGCGCAGCAGGCGCGCATCCTCCACGGCGACGGCGCCGCCGACCCCCCGCCCTCGGGCGCCGAGCTCGACCGCGCCAACGCCGCGGCGGCGCCGCGCCGGGACAACTGGCGGCGCGGCGAGCGGCGCGAGCTCAAGGTGCGGTCGGCGCAGCAGCTGATGGCCGAGTGGGAGGGGAAGGCGAGGCCGCAGAGGGGCGCCCCCGCGGAGGCTGGAGCGGCAGTCGTCGACATGCGCGGACCCCAGCCCCGCGTCCACGCCTCTCTGGCCGACGCGGACGCGGCGGCGGCGGCGGCGGGGGAGGAGGCGGAGGCGGCGGCGGGGATGCTTCCGGAGCTTCGGCACAACATGCGGATGCTGGTGGAGCTGTCCGAGGTGTCCGGCACGCCGCAGACAGCACGCACCACGCCACCCACACTCGACGGGCGCGAGCACACGCGGTACGGCTCTAGCGCGTGCCGCTAGGTCCGGATGCAGCAGACGCACCGCAAGCTGCGCGCAGAGCGCGACGCGATGCGCTCCTACTCCGCGCGGCGGGACGCGCACGCCGCGGCGGCGCGCCAGACAGCCACGCGGCTCGAGGCGATCGAGGAGGTCCAGGCGGCGCTACGCCGGTGCGTGGCCGGCGCCAAAGCCGTCCGCCAAGCCCAGCTCTCCTCCGCTGCGCCCGGCGGCGGCGGCGGCGGCGGCGGCGGCGGCGGCGGCGGCGGCGGCGGCGGCGGCGGCGCGGCTTCTTCTGCCGCCGAGGCGTCGCTCGCGGCGTGGGCGGAGGAGTGGGGCAAGCTGCGGCGGGCCCACCCTGAGGAGTGGAGCGTGCACAAGCTACACGAGGTCGCACTCGCACACGCACACGCACACACACACAA